CTACCCAAACTGAAGAAGCCGAGGGCGTTACCCCTCCCCTCCCTCTCACCCCAGAAAGCAAGGTAAGGAACAGCTCGGCAAGAGGATTGTGGCTGCCTCCTCCTGCACCCTTCTGCCTTAGCGTGCCAGAGGCTGGCACAGCGTGGGGCGGCCGGCCGTGGCCCAGGCAGGCGTGGGAAATGTGTGATGCGAAACGAGACCTCTCCTGACAGGCAGCGCAGGAGGAGCAGGCTGGGGGCGCGCCCCCCGCCTCTCCTCTCTCTGGCTCCATGTCTCCCTCCCTCACTCCACTGGCACAGGCACAAGTTCTTCTCTCTTTTCTCCTGCCCAGTCTCCTTGTGTCCCACTCAGTCACAAGTTAACTTTTCGTGGTCTTCCGAGAAATACTGATCCCTCATGTCCAACAGCAAGCAGCAATCTCTGTGTGATTCGCAGTGACTACCTGTTTCCAGACAACACCCAGGGACGCTTTCAAACATGGAGGGAAAGAAAACATTCCTGTGTCTGGGCAGATTCCTATAAATAATTTTCTTTTCTCTGACAATTCACAACCGAGATGGCAATAAGATGTATTCCAGAATGGGAAGAGTTGTTAAGATAGGTTATCATCATGGCTTGTGTAACTGTTGATATTCATGACATATCCATTTCACACCCTTTCACTTGATCGGGAGCACAAGACTTCTACCACCAAGAAGTATTCAGCTGGAAAACAAAGTCCACACCACATGCATACTAGTTAATAATCACACCTTTTGTTCTTTATGGTTACAAATACTTGCACTTGCATTAGATCTTTGTTCATCTTGGATTCTTGCTTGATTCCATGTGAAACCCCACGTTACAGCCTCAGCATCCTCTGCAGCAGTAGACAGCGTTGCAAGCAGTGGTGGTTGCATTGCGGGGCCAGCCGGGTTGGTGGGCTCTGAGAGACAAGGTTTGTTTAAGTGACACCAGCTGGATCTGCTGCTCAGGGAACCAGCATGCCGATATAAAACTGGCATCCAAGGAGTGCTGAAACGGTCCCTTTGAACTCCTGTTGATGGGTGAAGGTAGCAGACACAATGGTGATGTGTATGGGGAAGATAACCAGCCCAAGGTGGGAAGCGTGCCCTCATGCTCCCCAGGTCCCCTAACACAAGGAGCGTTAGCTCGTACTGTGTGCGTTTTGCAGCTGGCCGTGTTTTACCTGGTCATACCTGAAATGTTTGCCAGGACTCAGCTGGTGAAGGGACTTTCCCTGCTGGGCTCTAGATTGCTATTGCACCTACAGATTTTGCAGGGAAGATAATTTCTTGTGCATTACCATTGTCTAAATGAACTTGCCCTTTGTGATGACTTGCAAACTCGGGGTGACCATTACTGTAATCTCGAGAAGAGGCTCCTTGAGTCAGCAAGGCACAGGCGTGTGTAGGCTTCAAGTGGATGAACGCCCTTTCGCTTCTGGAGATCTGAACTCAGAGGTTTGGGCCGTTTGTATTGCACCGGGTGTACGTCTCTGCTGACAGCCCTTCCATGCCTGCCTGCCTTGACCAGCAGCAGCTCTCCTCTCCTGCGACGTTGTCACCTGCTGATTGCAGGCATGGGGACATTCAGGTTTGCATCCCAAACCTCGAGCGTGCAGGGCACCTGTGCTGTGCTAATATTGATCCTTTGAATCACACCGAAGTAGAGGCAAAAAAAGTTCCCAGCAGACCACCAAGGGTCCCAGTAGACATTTCAGTAGCTGAGTTTTCCCCTCTTTCAGATACATCAGGAAGCAAAAAGAAAGGACGGATGGGGAAAAAAAGACAAATTGGCAAAAGCAAACATGTTGTCAAGTGCACAGGAAAGAAAGTATTTAAATTGATAGTATCTCATATCTCCTACTCCTGTTTCAGGCACTTGAACTAAAGAGGTGGCAAGTAAATGCAAACTTTTTTCGGTACTTATTTATTCCATTTTTTACTTTAATTTGCTTTGCTTATGTGCTCACCTTCTGGGAATGTACAAGTTATCAGGTCTCACTGGCACAAATGCTTTCAGAAAATGAATTTGAAAGCCATATGCACAAACGTGAAGGAATTTAATTGTTTAAGATATCCTCAGGTAGGCATGCCAGAAGTCCTTCTCCATCAGATAGCAGAAAAAAAATGGGATGTTCACTTAGCTGTCCAGTACATACTGAACATCCAATGTCATCAGGAAAACTGACTGGAATTAAGTCACAACGTGTTTGTAAAATTGGTTTAAAATAATTCTGAATAACAAATTCAAGAAATCTTCAGTGTGCTCATGAATATGTCATAAATGAAACAAAAAATGAAAAAAATTAAAACAAGTATGTGACTTGTAAATTATTCCTTCAGTCCTACTCATATTCAAGAGAACAAAATAGATGTAGCTGAAATATAATCTTCCAATAATGCATTTATTTATAATCATCTAGGGAGCAAATGTTAATGGCTTTGTTTCAAGTGTGACTAAAACTATTTCAAATGTTTTCTCTTATGGAGTAGATACTGGAGGCAAGGGCCTTCTCTTCTGGTACTAATTCCTATTGCTGCTTTCTTGTTAATTGTGCATCTGATCTGGAATGGCTTAAAGTGATTTAAAGTCGTACGGTGCCACGCGTGGGACGGTCCTCGTGTGCGCTGCAGACAGGCCTTCCCGGCTGCAGCTCCTGAGCCACGGGGAGAATGCAAATACCCCGTTTCGGAGTGGGCTCGTGCCAATTCTGCCGCAGAAGGCTCCAATTCAAACAGTGTTTATATGCAAGCTCAATATACCTGGAGTTTAGGAGCAAATGCCTTCTTGCTTTTAAAGCTTTTAGCAAAACATTAGGAGCGCTTTATAGTGTGATACAAAGTACAGTGCCAAAACTCAGGATAACAAGTATGTTTGGAAAACATTGAGCCTTGAACTAGTTTCTTTATTTATTAAAAAAGAGAAAGAAAGAAAGAAAGAAAGAAAGAAAAAGCAGTTCACATGCAAGTGTATTTGATCCTAGCTGAACCACATCTCTCTCCAGCCGGTGGTTGGACCGAATTGGGGATCCATTCATTCGAAGGTGAACGTTTTAACGCGTGTGCCAGGGTGCAGTAAATTGAGAGAACATTTCTATTTTCTTCGGTACCTTTTTAAAGAAGGTGCGACTGCTGGGGCTAACCATGGTCAAGGATCTGTCTATCCCATCCAGGTCATGTGCAAAAAAAAAAGTGGGCATCAGGAAGACATCAAAGGCGGAGGGAGGAGCGGGGTTTATAAATAAGGCAGGGTGGCGTGGCCGGGGCTGGCAGTCAGTCTGGCAGCCGGCACTGGAGTCCTCGGAGCTCATCCCACGCTCCCGCCGAGTCGCTCATCTCTGTTTATATGAGTAATGGAGCGGCTGGGGGAGGGGATTTGTAAGCACGGAGCAAATACTCTTAGTGTTCATTTTGTGTAAGACTGACATCCACACCAAGTCGAGACTTCCAGCGACGTAGTGTGCAGTCACATGCTGTAGCATTCATGAGTACAGATATAAATCAGGCAGATGTTTGTCGACTGGAATGGGTAATAATTTCTTTCTCTCTTTGTTTGATTTTTGCATGTTAGCCTCAGATGACAATTTCAGAATTGCTTTCTGCAGTACTTTTCAATAAGCAGAATGTGCTTCACTGGAGATAGATGGAGATATTTCTATAGGGAAATAAACATATTTTTATGTAGACACAAATAGGGACTTACACACACACACACCCCCTGTGTGCCAGTGCTGGGGGAAGAAAAAGGATGTGTCTTTTGGACTTTCGGTTTTAAACCCACGGCTTTACTTTTTCTCTGAACAGACCAAATATGACACTGTTACTCAAACTATAAAATCAAATTAGCACCCTTTATTGTGTTTGCAAACTAATTAAAATGTAAAATGTCCTGAAACCACTGGCTTACTGTGTGACAAATGTAAGATTAGAAACAATTAGAAGGCACTCAAGAGGTTTGTGGTGTTTAGATTTCTGACATTGTTCTAATCATCCCTTTAAGTAATGAAAACAATGGTTACCTAGAAATTAAAGGTTTAAAGGAAATTATCTTCTTCGGTACAGTCATTAGTTAATGATTGTTTATCATTTTAAATGTTGCCATAGTAGTCGGAGGCTGATTTTTAAATTTGAAAGCAGGCAGGACATGTAATAATGAGCAAACATCTGCTTCATCTATTATTTCTGTATGTGATCATAATTTATATTGTAATACCACTATTGAAAGATGAGTCTGATATTTTTTATGATGATCCATATCCCATTCTACATATGGCTCAGCATGGTTAGGATTTAGTCACTGTGTTATTTCAGAGCTGTTTTATCTTAAGAATTGGACAAAACTGAAAGTGATTCATGCTAATTTATATGTGTGGTATGTAACCCTTATGAAACAATCGCTTATTTCAGTACTTGTCAACTTCCAGAACTAGTTGTTAAGGGTTTTTTTGATCCATTTCAGGACTCGGGGGTAATTTTTTAATTTTTTTTTTAACTTTTTTAGAAGAACTTTGACAAGAATGACAGGATATATAAACATTTCTTGAAGCTGTAAGGAATTTCAATATTTCAGAACATTTCCAAAACCAGATGTTTCCCAAAGTTGGAAATAGTAGTTAGTACTTTTACTTGAAGATTAGAAATAATAAATGCAGCGGGCTGATTAATGCAGTTACCAATTAATATTCTATTTTTTTCTTTTTTGTACCATGGAGAAATATTTGTGCTTTCTCTTCGAGTCATTTGGGGACCAGTGTTTGACTTTATATTAATTAGTTATGTGAAAGTAGAATAGATTAGCCTTGGGGGATATTCTATAGAAACGTATAGTGTGTCAAGATGTAACCCATGGAGGATGGGAATCTCATAATAAGCATTTACTGTAGACAGATGTGTACGTTTCTGTGACTGATTGTAGTGGAATTATTTATTATGCTTTCAGCTGTTAAGAATCCAGTATAAGACAATGTGCTCAAATTGTTCTCCATTAATTTTCAGCGCCAAATCTTAAAGGCAGACCGCGCAAAAAGAAGCCTTGCCCACAGAGAAGAGATTCATTAAATGGCATTAAGGATTCCAACAATAATTCTGAAAGCAAAGCTGTTGCCAAGGTAAATCACTTAATAATGCTCTTTTCAGTACACTCTCTTTTTAGGTACAGCCCTGCCTTTGTTTCCAAGCATGCTGTTTCAAATTTAGAATGTAACTTATTTTCTTGGGGAGATAAATGTAATTTTTTTCAATAGTTTTATTCTTCACTTTAATTCATATTTGTGTTCAAAGTTACCAGCAACTATAATCACCTAACAACCTAATGCTATCAGCTTGTTGGTAACTGGTAGTGCTTAAGCTTTCTTGGCATCTAGTGTTAGTTTTCACATTCTGTGACACACAAACATAGTTTGTGACAGTATCTTCGAATTAAAAATAAACCAGGGAGCAGCTCACCCTGTTACAATGTACTTCTAAATATAAGTTTGAAGATAAACAGACGATGAAACAAGAGCCGCTTCAGTAATGGTTTCTAAGAAGCACACACAAATGACATTACCCTGATGTTAAGATCTCGACTTTTTTTTAAATTAGAAAAAAAAAAAGATAAAGGCAGAAATTCAGTACGAAAGCTTAAAAAAAAAAATCTGGGCTGTGTCTTTAATACTTAGTGCTGAGCTGCGTGTTCCAGGGTTTATTGAATAGTGCATGCTTTTACAGAGTCTTCTCTACGTGCTGCAGTGCTTAGCCCATACTGCAAGTAAAAATTGGATCGTTGATTTGTGTTTATAGACTTAATCTTTTAGATATTTATGGGTTTGTGTCTTCTCCTTAAAATATTTTAAAATGGAGTTTCTGTAGAGGAATTTACATCCTATTTTCTATGTTGTCTGTGTGGTTTTAAATAGGAATTTGGTTTTCTCTTTAAAAAAAAAGCAGCACAAATGGCTCCTTTCAAGATGATTTAATTTGAAACTGTAAGATGCAAAGATGGAAAATTACTTAGAGCAATACTTGTAGATTTTTATCTGAGGCAGAACTTCGTCACTGTGATACTTCTGAGCTAAACAGCTAAACAGGTTTGCATAGACTGAGTTTTTAGGCCAACTCCTCCCGAATCCATTGTTTCAATAAATTAGATGGATATGTATCTGAAAAACGCTTCCATTGTTGTGACCATCTCTTTAGGAAATACAGTGAATCTATAGATCCATTTACGTTGGTATTGTTGTATGCAGTGAATGTCCTGGGAGATTAGGAGGTTAAAGAGGTCAAGTGGAAGTGTTCTGCTCTCAGTTTCTCATAGGAAGGCAAATTAAATTCCACCTCCTCCTCCTCCTCCCTAGGAGTTCAGTTAAAATTGTGCCTTCTGTTGATGACGGTAAAAGAGGCTGAAGTTCATGATGAAGCTCTGCCCTTAAGTCACTGTTTCTCTTCTTTTTGTGCCCTATTGTGCTCAGCTGGAGTCTGTACTATCGTATTAGACAGGCATGGTAAAAGCGATGGAGCCTGGTGTGTCGAGTTGCGGGGTCCTGCCAGATACTATAGAGTTTGCCTGAATGTTTTTGCTCTGTGGAAGAATGTGCAAAATCCGCGGTGTGAAAATATCTCCATTTGCCTCAATTTCCCCAAGCTGTTTTTCATGTTAAAATATTACCAGCAAACTGCAACACGGACCATGTTGTCAAAGCACCCCGGACTGTAGCACGAGTAGTTCTGCCTCTTCAGCACCTGATATATAGGTATTAGATAATTAAAAACAACAGTAACACTTCATACCAAATTGTTTATCCTCTGTGTTTATATCTGGGTTCACCCTACTAGTCAAATGGGAGGATATTTCAGATAAGAAGTAATTCCGCCTATTTGTCTAGTCATACTGTGCTCATCATTGTGCAGATATTAATAGCATTAATTATCTTGGCCAGCTTAATTTCATTATAAATAATAGACATGCTCATGATATAATGTCCTTGCATGTAGTCACACTGACTTCACTGTGGCTCTTCACATCAATCTGTGTCTCAGGGCTGTGGATATACTTTAATAAGAGGGACAGTGAATCAGAAGCCCTCTACCACAGATGTATTGCACTTTATACAGATCCTGCCTATGCGTTTCTGGGGAAGGAGGGGAAGTATATTTGGGGAGGAAGGGGGAATGGAGATCCACCTACTGTCTTCTCATTGTTGGGAACAGTTGGGAGGCTAAGTCATCATCTTAGGCTCCACGTTGGGCTTCACCATCAGTTTTCCTCCTCTGTCCGTGTTCCATCTCCGACTAACGCTGACAATGGGTCCATGGAGAGCAGAGCTGAACACTGCTAGTGTAAACGGGACAAATCCACTTGTGTCAGATGCTGAAACATTTTGGCAGCGGTCCTGGCCGTATTCCTGTTCCAGCTAAAATCCCTTTTGACCAGAAGTTGTGCTGCTTTCATCCTCAGATCATGGCACCCAGTGTCTGACAGCAGCCTCATTTATCGGGTGGCGGGGCGATGACTGACGGAGATGCAGTGGCTGTACGGTTTGGGTCAGGAAGTGGCAGAAGTGGCATTCTGAAGACTGTGCTTTTGAGCCTGTCAAGACTAACACAAGCCACGTGGTTGTAATGACTTGCTGAATTTCATGTTCTCAGCTGCCAATGACTAGAAAGCTTTGTATCTTCTTATAACTTAGCTCTCATTAGGCACGTTTACCTTGAACCATCAGCAGATCCTTTTGTAGGGTTTTACTGTTAACTGACACAGAAGAGCGTTTGGTTGGGTAGGAGCAGCTCTGAGTAAATTCCAGTGTAGGTGGCTTGTTAAAAGTAGAGCAATGGCAGGACAGACAATGTGATCCTGGACCTGCGGGTGCTGCCAGGGGAAGTGGGTCTTTCGTGTACCACTTCTTGGTTTTGGTCTCCTTGCTGGTCACTGCATCCATGTTAGTACCTCCTGGGGAAGATCCCAAGGGAGTTCCCTCCCAGCCTAGACATGTAAAAATCGCAAGAATACGAGGCCATCTACTGAGGCACGATCAGCCCTCCTGGAAAGATGTGTATCAAGCTCTTCTCTCGAAACACTCCTAGGACTCTGGAGGCTTTCATACTTCACGTGTCATCAGTGCTGGACAAGCTTTTGGGACTTGCAGGCTCCAGCGTGATGCTCATCGTACCTGCTTCGTGCTCCCGAAGAGTGTTCCCATTCAAAGTGTGCAGAAATGCACTGTAAGACTTTTAAAAACTGGCTCATCTGACCATTTCGAAGAGCTGAAAGGATTAACTTGTTAAACACGGAAATTGTCCCCAAATGAATCTACTCATTACATCTCCTAGTGCAAATGCTAAAGTAAATCTCTCACTTCATTTGTACAGCAAGATCTGGGAAATTAGTTTAAAAGTTGCCAGGATATGCTTTTCCTGTGGCCACAGGTGGCCTGGCATGCTCTCAGACCTGGAGATTTATTCTGAGCGCCTCAGCCATTATCTGATTGAAACTCTAAATGCAGGTCTGTAGCGGTCTGTGTTGTGTATGACCTCTGGCAGGAGAAGACAAACAGACGGGTGTACCCATGAGTGTTCCCTGGCCATTTTGTAATGGACCGCATGCCTCTGATGGAACACAGAGCAGGAGGTGGTCAGATGCTCCCAGAGCCCATCTCAGTACACCCCCAGCTTATCCATGCTGCGGCGCTGGGTTGCCTATCTGGGCCTTAGCCTTCAGTTTCATTTTGGAGGTGTTACTCACACTGAGGCTACAATGAAAGAGCTTTAACTCCTCCTGCGGAAATTGAACTCTCCCTTAATAACAGAGTCGTTTGGGCTTTCTGAGCAGACCAGAAAAGAGAGCAGAGCCAAGCAAAATTCTGTGTTCAGGACCTTCCTCCAGATCTTTGCCCTCTAGGAAGATTCAAAATTGTGTTTTGAGAGAGGTCGTTTTGTGGTGCCTGGTGCAAATCTGGCATAGCTCTCACTGCCTTCGGTGGATTTACACCAGTGTTACCCAGAATGGCATTAGGCCTTTTTGGTTCTCATTAATTATTGGTCATGGCACTCATCTATATCTCCTGTCAGACGGTGGGGAGGTTCCAGAAGTGAGGCTTGTGCCTCAAACGCTGAGTGGATGAAGCATTGCAGCCTTTGTCAAAGCTTCGTTGAACCTGACACTGCTTGGAGTCTGTCCGTTGTGTTTTGGCACCTTTGAGTTCCATGGGTGCTTTGGCCTCACTTGGCTGGACACTGGAGGTTGTGTGTTACACGGGGTTTTCTCACTCCCGATGGCATTTTTAATGTTATTTTCTTTGTTTCCTTTTGTCTCCTTGGGAGTGACATCCCTTGCCATTAGCTTGCTTGCGTAGCAGTGAGCTTTGATTTCATTTAGCATTCGTGCCCAGGCTGTCTTTGCAAACATAGTTCTGAATTGTCCAGTTTGAAAAAGAAAATCCGTTAAAAAGATTGATTGATTGATTGATTGACTTTACATAGCAAGTGGGTGACAAAACTAAGAAATTGCTCCCAGGTCCAATGAATTTTTTCCAAGTTTTAGCTTGCAACAAATTTGCAGATCAAATTGAAAATCCTAAATTTATTGAAATCATGGGTTCATATCAGGAGTGCTAACCCAGTCTTTGGTTTAGCATTGAAAACTATGACAATGTAATCTAAACTTTGTAAGGGGAAGCCGTTAAATAATTTTGCGAGGAGCCAAAGTAAAAAAGTGAAGGGATTACAGCTCTGAACTGAAAAGTGGATGAGGAAATCCGAAGTTCATTTAACAGGAAAAAAAATCCATTAGCTCCATTGAGTTTTGGATGAAACCCAGGATCTTTACGGAAGTTTAATCAATGAGCGTATCTATTACTAAAAGGCAAAGCGCGATGTCTTGTGCCATAAGAAGACAGTATCTCTTTGAACCTTGCAACCAGAGAATATCAAACAGTACAGCGCACATACTTCAGCAGTAACTCATCAAGAAAAATCCCATAGGAAGTCCATTTCCCAGTCCCTGCTGCGTTGCCTGGGAGGAGCAAGCCTGTACCCTGCAGTGTCCAACAGGGAGATTTTTCAGGAGCATCGATTACCTTGGAAAATTGTGGCCACTTCTCCCCCCTGGTTAGGAGCTAGCATTGTTTTGTCCAACATCTGTGGAAGACTATGGAGGCAGCTAATCTTAAGTCAATGCTTTCTGCACTCCTGGAGGAGTATAAAAGAAAAGATTTTGCTTTCCCTGAGCCTGGACAGAAGGTAGCTTTATTGAGAATAAAATAAGCATATCATAGTCTTCCCAATGAGATGTTTGTTGTTTGTTTACAAGCACTTACGTAATGCTCTTCATAGCACTTACTTCCAAAATGTCAACAAGTACCCAGGAAGCACCTGGTTTAGAAGTGGGGAGAGTGAAGGAGAGTCAACGGCTTACTTGACCAAGCTCCTGCCTTCTTGTACAAGATACCCTGCTCTCCTCTGCTGTCCTCCTAAAATACCAAATACTGGCTCTTACAGTCTCCCTGCTCCCTCTGGGAGCACAAAGGACGTCTCTTGGATGGGGTGTTGAGCTTCCAAGAAGGCTTCTCACAGCACTCAAAAGCATTGAAGGGACAGCGCAAATCCAAAATACATGTAACCATCTCCACTACTTTGTATTAGAGGACTTCCAGTATTTCACTGGAAATGTACCAATCCCGTCTTGGTCAGGGAAAGCTTTTAAACATCAGTTTGCAAGGTTCTGCTCTTTTGCTTTTTGTATACATAAATTATGGGAATGCTCGAGTTGTAATTTGCTTGATTCAATGAGAGGATTATCTTCAGGAGGACTGCAGGATTAAGCTGGTCTCACTGGATATTTTTTCCCACGTTTGAATACTGATGAGAGGTAAAGTCGTTCCAATTTGTTGATTTCCTGACTGGCACATGTCTGCCAGGGAGGCCAGTGGGATGCCTGGAGCTCTGGGACTGGCATGCATTGGGGCTGCCGGTGTCTACCTGGAAAGGCTCCGGCTACCAGCCTCTTCCTTCTGCTAAATACTTAGGGCTGTGCTTAAGTTTAAGCAGATGCTCAAACGACTTAAGTCCATGCTACAGCAGAACCTCCACTCGTGTGTGCCGAGAGCTCTGCCTGCGTAATGCTTGCTACGGTTTTCATCTATTTTGGTGGGCCAAAGGAGAGAAAAATGTGTCATTTCAGAGCTGGCTGCTGAGCATTCCTGGAAGGGGCTGAGCACCCTCAGCTCCAAGGGTTGTCTACGGGAGTTGACAATGCTCAGTGTCGATCGTGGAACGAAGGTTATTATTAGACTTGCTAATGGCAAGTGTATGTGAGAGATGGGAGCTGTCTGTGACATAGCAATGTATAGTCATAAAAATGCAGATCTGGAGAGCATTACCAATGGGTTATAATGATTTAAAGATGTGGCTATTTAAAAATATTGTGACTAAGATTCAGAACAAGACATTTAGCTCTATAAATAGCTTCCTTTGTTTCCCCTCAAACACAGTTGCATGGTTTGGCCTTCATTTTTTCAACAATCCATTCTGCTAGGAGAGGGTATTTATTCTTTAAGTGAAAATTAAAGGTTACCCAGATCTGATATGACATCTTTTCTTTTCCCAGGTAAAATGTGAGGCTAAGTCAGCTTTGCCCAAACCCAAGAGTAACAACAGCAACTGTAAAAAAGGCTCAAGTGAGGATAAATCAAAGATTGCCGTAGGTGAAGAATGCAGAGCTGATGAGCAGGCTTTCCTTGTGGCTCTTTATAAATATATGAAAGAAAGGAAAACACCAATTGAACGAATACCCTATTTAGGTTTTAAGCAGAGTAAGTATCCTTTTTCTCACTTTCTTGTTGACATTTTAGAATGGTTTGGCTTCTCTGGAGAAAACATTTGCACATGAAGCCTATTTTAAAGCCTTATGGATGGGGGGACCATGTTTATATCTGAACATTTTCCAGTCCAGGCATTTCACTGTCTTATGCCTAGATTTGCATCTCTTCCTTCTGGGGTAGTTGCTGCCGGATATTTATAGGTTTAAATCCGCTGATTATGACTAGAAATAGGCATGTTGAAAACTCTCTAGTTTTCTGTTTTGTAAATCTGCAGCGTCTGTAATGCCTTTCTTCTGAGTTAATAATATGACGTATCTTTATTGTGCCCAGATGTTCTTTATGAAAGGACAAATATTAAAGGAAGACATTTAAAGGTGGTCAAGAAAGGCACAAAAGGGATCACATTTTTAAGCCCCAAAATGTGTTTATAGTTAATAAATCACTGACTTTGGAGAATATAAAACCAGACTGTATCTGTTTAATACAGAATGCAATGTTTAGAATTGCTTTGGCATGTACAGTTTGTAGTGCCACAATCTGTAAAGCAGTTGTAGGTGGAGAAGATACAGTTGTAACTAAATTTTACATAAATATTGCAGCACAATGTAGATCTTTCAGAGTTTCCAACAAAAGCTGTAAATGGGGGTATTTTTCCTCCTTATCTATAGATTGAATGATACTTTATTTCCTTAAAGGGAGCACTCCATGGATTGAAGTATTATTTACTCTAATTTATCTCCCAGATTAAAACCATGTGTTATTTTGATGAAGAATGTCAAACCTGTATGTTTTACATAACAATTTACATACCTAATAGCAATTGGCACTGATTGCAACAGGCCTCCAGCAGCCATTATAAACTTATATAACTCCGAATGATTACAGTGTTTGTCTGAAAACTGGCTGCTTGAAATGGAAGTAAAATTAATGTACTATGAACAGCTTCGTTGCATTATGCATTGATTCAGATTAAATCAAGGCCTAAGCAAAGCTCGTGATAGCTTTGAAACAGTACAAGGTTCAATGAGGCTTTCAGAACGTTTTGTGTTGAAGAGAGGATTTTTTCCCCCCCCCCGTTTTATTCGGCACTCCCTCAAGCATGGGGACAGGGGGGGCTTGAAAGACAAGCTGAAGTATTATTTCTAAAATTCCCCACTGGGGGTAGGGCCCTCCGCTAACATTTAGCTGAAATACACTGAAAGTTGCCTGACATTCATTATAAATTAGGGGCCTGATCCCACAAATACTTAAATGCCAAGAGTAAGTATGCTGAGAAGAGCAGAAATGTTTGCAGGACGGGGCTCTCTATTTGTCGAGCAAGACTTGTGCAAACATTGCCAATATAAATAGGTTAGTGGGAAGAAGCAGTATGTACACTACAACAGAGCATCTCCTTGCAGAGGAAGAGATCCCGCCCTCTGTGGTCCACAGCATTATTGCTGAATCTGGCCTGAAGTATTTGTAGTATGCCTATGGGGAGTCACTGTTTGTTGGTGGAATAGTGCATATACCTTTCATAGAGCTAAGACATCCATTTTTCTTCTAGCAATTAAAATAAAATAAAATAAAATAAAATAAAATAAAAAAATGAGACACCAGCAGCAAGCAGTGACCCCATGGGACAGTGGACCAGGATGAAAAGCAAGTGAGAGGGAAGGAGTTCTGCAGGAAGTAACAAGCATCTCCCAACACATCTTTTGAATTGAGTTGCCTCTGTTCTTCCCACCCCACAGCCATGGACAAGGCACAACCACTCATGCCATAATTATTATGGTAATTTTCACTTGTGCTCCCCCCGGGTTCATTTGCACAGGACCCGTTAGAATGCAGCCTATTGTTTATTGATTATGGAGGCCATTATCTGAGCTGCAGTAAATATTGGATATTGTTGTTTAATCAATAGGCTTTCTCTGTGAACCAGTGTGTGGCTCATGCTTGCCTGCTAATGAAATCAGTATTAAACAAATAATTAAAAGCAACATTCTTCCCAATGAGTAATTTTTATTATCGAAGTTATGGAAACATGCTACAGTCATTATACCATGCCTCTTATCAGCAAAGTCAAATGAGCCTATTACCTTTGTCTCAGTGTATTTTTCCAGTCCTGTTAAGGAATCTAAGTGTGTTCTCTTATATGTAATTAAAAATATATATAGTATGGGCTAATATTTACTCTTCAGATTATGTAAATACCTCTTTGGAAAATGTTTCACAAGAGCTTTTTCAGGGGCTGTGAGCTTTTTTTCTCTATTTTTCTTTTAAAAAACTGTTTAATTTACATTTCTTTGAAATATGTTGGTTAATGCAATGCTTATCTAAATACTTATTGTCCCTCTAACAGTTAACCTTTGGACTATGTTTCAAGCTGCTCAAAAACTGGGAGGATATGAAACAGTAAGTGTTTAAGTAACTTAAATGAAATAATTGTGCAATCTAACTTTTCCCTGTTAGAAAAAAAATGTAAAAGCAAACAATCATTTGCTGCATTTTAGGCTAGCTGTACACATTATGGGTTTATTGGACCATTTTTGGAAGCAGTCCCAATTAGTTCCAGGTTTGGCAAAATTGTAAACTTGTCGTAAAAACTACAAGTGGAAAACATATGTAACTCTTCCCTGTCAAGGAAATTAGTTGGGTCTGTAATTTTTTCCCATGTTGAGAAAGGGCTATTATTGTACAACAAGCCAAGACTGCATAAAAGAAATTTCACTTGGCAGCATCCCTGACATCTGTTCATGTCTAATATGGGAAATGTATTAAAGGCTTTCAAAAGTAATCAGCATTGTCCATTAAGGAATAGTATGCTGCAGTATCTTCTCTTATTCCAAGTGTAAAAGATCTTTATTAGACAAGGGTCAGTACCACATAAACAGGAAGTTATCAAAGTAATTCAGAAAAGTCTCTGACACTTTTTATCAGCTAACCATATCTGACAAGAGCGGGCATGTATTTTGAACCAATAAAATATTAGAGCAACAAACTCAGATTAAAATCTTGAAATGAGAAGAAAGAGCTGCATTAATATGGCACATCGAGATGACATCTGTAATAAAAACCAATTGACATAGGAAGATGTCGTCATTGGAAATATTTTCTTTGCACACAATGATCAGATTAAGTTGTTCAGTTCCTGCCACAGTTGGATGAAAGAAATTATTTTTGCTTTGTTTACGAAGTAATCTGGGACATATCTGTGCTGTAGAGAAATGACAAGAAGAAATGTACTATCAAGAAACTGAAAGTCATTTGAACCAAAATATAAAACTCACTGTTTTCCTTCCATACAATAAAGCATATTGTTCTGTAAATCAGCAGCCCGGGTTGATGAGCATGGGTGTGGCTGGGATTTTGTGAAACATGAAATCAACATCCTCAACAAAAATATATGCTTAATTTGGCTTTTATTGTTCCTGTATCTTTCGTTAATCAGCACATACCATGCTTATGTACAGGGGTGTGCGTTGGTGTGCTCATGGGTATATATGAATGAATAGCTACCATAGATAGATCGTTACAGCAATTATGAGCCAGCAGTAATTGCCATGAATTGTAAAGTGCAATGAAAATGAGGGCTAAAATCTTGAACTTGATCCAGAGCACGAGGGAAGGCGGAGAGGGAGATCGAAAGGAGAGTGGCGTGTTCAGAGTGCTCAGGGAGGCAGGCGACTTTCACAGCAACGTTTGAGAACTGCTTGAAGTGACCAACGATAGAAGCAGGGGTGCCAAAGTGGTGGCTTGCTGGAGAGAGCTGAGGTTTAGTGCCAGCATGAGAGGGAGAGGGATGGATTTAGAGATGCTGGAGAAGGTGAACCTCTGTGCCTGGGGCAGAGCAGGAATAAGATGGTGAGTTTGTGAACACAAGGCCAGAGAGCCAGGTCTACCAATGTAGCAGAAACGTGAGAGGATCAGAGGGGAAGGATCACATACGTGAGAATGTCATCCAGAGTAGCATCAGTCCACCCTTGTCTCAAAGCTCCTGTCCTTTTCTCAGTGACAGATGTTCTCTGTTGTTTAGGGGCATTTGTCACCTTTGGTGAAAATGTACCAGTGGTGCTTATTCTTCATAGAGAAGAAACTAAGCAGTTGCTTGCTGGTCAGTAAATGGCAAGGCAAGCATAGCTCACGCCCTCTGACATACATGGGAGCCCAGCTTTGGTCTGAGAGTGACTCTGGCTGAAGTGATGGGCCTGATCCTGTTTTTATGATGTGAGTGGTGTCTATACTCTCCGCAGAAGAGCTGAAGTTGGGAGGACCGTTGTGATGCAATTTAAGTTGTACATGGAGCATGAGGGTTCCTGACCTCATTCTCTTCTGTTAACAGTCTCATCCTCAATATGGATCTGTCTTTGCTTTACATTCCCTGAATGTTAAACCAATAGCTGTTGCAATACTTTGACCTGTCCACACCCTAGTTTTTATTATTTTATGGCCAGTTGATATTCATTGAGTTTGCCAAGCTGCATTTGCTTGTATATATTTTATCATGGCAAGCATTGCTGAGAGGCTTTTGTGTTTGATTCATGTTTCATTTTTTAGCAAGGCCGTGGATGACTGGGGTGACATGGACCTCAGTATCAGTTCCAGAACCTTAGGCAGGTCTGCTTAGATGTAGAAATTTTGAGTGAGTGCTGTAGTTCAGTTAACAACCAGAATTCACCACTGACGCACAGCACCAATATCTATTGATGACAAGAAGTCATGTGCAGAACAAAGGCTTTCTCGAACCTACCCTGATTAATACACGTTTATCTATAGGGGCCCTTCCAATCTGACTTGAACAAGTCATTTGTCCATTATAAGGGCTTCACCATCTTTAACTTGTTTTAAAATTTTGCAAGTTTCTGGTTTGTGCATTGAGATAGAGATGGGTCTTTTCTCTTGGAAGTATTGTAAATAAAAGAATATTTAAAAGTAGATACTTGGCTTCAGCATGTGACAGCCATTTTATGAACAGGAAACAAATAAAAGATTGGTCAAAATCACATATGGGAACTCAGAGTGGTCAGGGGACTAGTTTTTTACTAGTAAGCATAGAAACTTCCCAGTTAAAGCAGTTGCAAACTTTACATCCTTGTGTTTGGCAGAACAACGATGGTCAGCCCATTTTCAGTTTCATCCCCTGCCCTGTCCACCTTGTCCTTGTACAGATGCTTCGATGGGGCTGTAAAAACATCTTTGAGAAACAAGCAGAGATTATGTACGGTGTTTTCCAGCTTCTGCCCAGATTCACAGAACAGTGCAAGACCTCTGAGTCCAGTCCTGTTGGTTAAGGATCTAAAAGTGAATGAAAACAGCCAGGGATTGGATTTGAGGTGCAGAGAACAACTTTCTTAGCCATCTGTCTGACTTTCCTTAATTGTCATGTATCAGCAGCTGGAATGGATCCAGTGAGGCTTGACAGAGAGTATTACCTGTACATACAGCATATACATACGGGATATTTAGTGGTGTCAAGTCATGATTGTGTGTCATACATCATATTTAAGGGCTTTCCAGTTAGAGTACTTGTGAGGGTCATTTCTCATCTGTCCATTATCTGTTTGACTACTAATTCTTAGTTGTTGTCTATAACTGTAATACCACATGTACTTCTTGTTGGACATAATACAGGCTTAATAAAAATAGCCACCTGTACAAATTGGTTTAAGTCCTTAACAGATGAAGCTGTCTCTTTGGAATTGGCGGGATCACGTTTCTCTTAAACAAAGATACATGAAATGAGCATCTTTGTTACTAATAATAGGAGCGTGCGCTGGAAAGTACTCTATAGCAGACCTTCACAGTATGAATGATCTAAAATGTCCCCAAATCCATGGATGAAATACAAAACAATGTCATGTTCTAGGGGGCTCAGCTGCAGTGGCATTTAACAGCCATTGCCTGGAATTTTCTTAATTACCCCAAGTCAAGGGAGTAAAAGTTCATAGATGGGAAACTTCCAGGACTTATCTAAAGAGTCTTCGGCATGTCATGAAGTGGCATTTTTCTTTTGAGCCAACACAAAAGGAGTGCCTCGGCATGTTTGCAGAAGGCTGTGGTGCTGAATGGACTCTACCTGGAGATGTCTTAGAAAGACAAAGGGTAAAAAGAAAATTAGGTGAAGCTTAACCTTCGGTGTGTAGCAGCTTAAATTTTGCTGAAGGTCGGTGGGATCCCCTTTAGCTGCTGCCTCCTGGAAGCAGCAGTAAAGTGCTTTAGTTTTTAAAAATCAATGATTGACACATACAGCAGTCCTGTGTCTGGGCAGGCCCGAAGAAACTGATGTATCAGTGGAATGCAAAGCTACCTGGCTTTGTTTCATACAGAGCTAATACCCAGAGCTCTGTTTTGAAGACCGTTGTGAACATCACATACCAATACCAGAAAATCCCCCATTAGATTTGCAGCAGGAAATAAGGAAGAAGCCTTTTCATGAGGAAGGGAGCTGGGATTGCAGTGCAGAAGACCTTAAGATTTCTCAAAGCAGAAGACACTGTTAAAAGCATGTGTATAAACAGTCCTCTACTTTAATAGATAAGATCATTGCTTTTATTTGGTTGTTCCTGAGTACCAGTCACTGCCTAATACTGTGCTTATAGGAACCAGTTCAGATCTGCTCTCAGGTCCCTGGGCAGACCAGTCTCTTGCTTAACTCCAAATTCTGCTAATTGGGAAAGATTTCACAGAGGTTTTCAAAGCTCCTGACTTCCAGTGGGCCCAGCTCTAGGATTGTGAAGCTCTAGGTTGGAGCAAAATTGTGGGAGGGGTCTGCAAACCAGAAGACTACTTTAAAACTAAAGCCAGCGTTGGAATGGGAAGCTGTCAGAGATGAGACTGGCCTATGCAATTGCCTTGATTAATGGTAAGCCTGGAGCATCCTGCACTTTTAGAAATGCGGCAGGCACTGGGAGGGATGTATATACTGGGAGGAAGAGGGAAAAACAAATTGGAGACCTAAAGCAGCAAAGGTTCTTTGTCTTCTGTATGTTTTCTACTGGAGCAGGTCAGCTTACGTCAGGAAACTGAAGCTGAATTAATCAAAAGTGTGAAATGAAAGTGCTCAGGACATTTGTTAAAGCTTTTGCAGGATCTTAGTTGTCTTATGCCATTATAGCTCCATGCCCTTAAAAAACCCCATCACTTTGCTCCTGAATGTTTATGTGAAATTCCCAGGCAGCTAAAATACCATTTTCATACCTTTTGTTGTCTGCCTTTCTGTTCCTCATGTGCCCCAGTCATGGTCATGTTACTAACCAGGAGTACATATGAGCCCTGTCAGAGTTAAAACCGCTGTATAAAAGCAGCCAAGGCAGGCATTTTTGGTAGGAACAGCAACTACAAGCAAAGCATTGCCAAGCACTGTCCTTTCCTGGCTCCTCAGGAAGTCGGCAGCCATTGAGGTGCCTGGGGGGGACTTGCGTGAGAGAAGAAAGCAGTCCTCGATGTGGATGTGGCCAGCATGAGCATCCAGCTTGAGCAGTGCTGCCTTGCATGACAACTGTGAAGTTTCCACAGTGCAGCATTTTGTTCAGATTGTTTAAGGATGTAATTTATCAGTTACTTTAGTCCTTTGAAGTTTATTAAGCATAAAAACTAAACTTCCCAGAGCAGGGGAAAACTCAGCCCCAGGCTTTGTTAGAATAACAGTCGTTTCAGGGAATGTCAAATTTAAACTTTGCTCTGTACGTGGGAGGGCACAACCCTGCTAATTGCCAAGGAGTTCTGGTCCGTTGCAGAGGCAGAATTGGATAAAGCTGGGCAAATGTTTGTGTAAATACTATTATCCTAAACAGCCAAGAAGAGAGAGACACCAAAAATTATTTCAAAGGGATTCCCTTTTCCGCTTAAAAATGGTTGTGTTTACTGATGTTCCAGCCTGCATATCGACTCTTGAGTCAGCTCATAGTTAACGGGACTTGAGCTCTGAGGTTACCATTTTCCTTTTAAAAATGGAGACCATGCTTCTTAGTCACATCAGGATGTTTAAAAAGGGGACTTGCAGTAGTCCTCTTGCTGACTAATCCTTTGCTTTCGTTTATAGCTTCATTGTACTTAGCCAAAGCATCAGGTCCTGGCCCACCGCCTTGCAAGCCAGCCAGGCTGTGCTTGCCAGAGGGCCAGAGCGCAGACCCCCAGTTTGTGAGGCTACCAGAGACATGATTTAATATAAAGCCATTTGCAGCAGTCCTCAGGGGATCTGTGATTTTTGGGAGCTACCAGAAGGCAAGGGCCATCTGGCCATGCCTCTGTCCTTTGCCTGTCCCAAGGACTGGTGGGATAGGTGTGGGAGGCAGGACCAGAGGTAGCTTCCCATCCAGGCATTCCTCCAGAGCAGGGTACTTGTTCCAGCTCTTTTTTGACCTTTCAGGTTGCAGAAGGAGCATCCGTTCATATTCTCAGGAGGTGATGTTCTTTATGTCTCATTAGGACTCCAGTTCTTCAACACCTTTAGTAATAATAATAGGTAAAAGTGTGGGTAGCCTGGGGAGGAGCCAGCATAAGAACTGAAACAAAATAGACTTGATATGAACCTTTCTTCAGATGAGTGTTTGATTTTTATTTAAAAAATCAGTCTGTGCAGAATTTATCCTTGAATTGCAGTCTCTCTCTTGTGCCTGTGGTCTTTGGGTTGGTTACAGAAGACAGAAAATAAAATCAGTGAATGCAGTCAGTCCATTTTGCTTTAAATGAGTTTTAAGATAAGATATTCCACACACACCCCCTTTTTTTTTTAAGTATCTATTGGTGCAAACTATGTACAGGTATTAAAAGTGAGTTGGCGGTGCTGATGTTTTCTAAGGAGAACTGTACAAACAATAAACTTGAAGAAATTGTAACATTATCAAATGATAAGTCTCCAGCCATGCTTTTGGCTTCGGAGAATAATTTCTGCAAAGGAAGGATTTTTCTTTTATATTGAGCGAAAAAGAAACACCTCTTACCCTGTAGTATTTAATGACGGTAGCTATCTCCTCTGTTTAGATTAAAATTGCAGGCCTCAGATTGCAAGCTGTAATATTTGTTTTCTTCTGATTGCTGCTTTTAGCTCCTCAGTAAATGCCATTGACTGCTCTGTGGGTAACTCCGAAGAAGCCTCTGGGGCTGAATATATTAAAATCCACAGCATTCCACAGAAAATGACAAAATTCTCCCCAAATTGCCCCCACAATTTTCCACTGGCCTTCTTTATGAGCTGCAGGCCAAAGAGGGTGATCTGTTGTGCTTGTCCTATTCCTGTTTTTCTTCCTGTTTTAAATATAGCGGAATATATAAAATAATGAAGTGGTATTCAGAAACAATTCTTTTGCCAGGTCTTCCATCTGTTATTCTGTATAATCCTAATTTCTGTACAAAAAAACAGAACTATGGTATGCAACTCAATATGTTACAAGATGTTTATTTTCATCAGCGTGGTCCAATAAAGTACATAGCTCAAATATTAACATTGGAGTATGTTAAGATTTCATTACTATTTGATCTATATATTTTACTGACATAAATGGATAAAAATAAACAGCTTGTAACATATAGAGTTACGGACTATGCTTTTGTGGATTTACAGAATTCTGTGGTGGATTTGGGTTTTGCAGCAGATTTATTTTCTCTAATTCAGTTAAAATAACTATGTAATCATTATTTGTGCTGAGTATGGTTTGAGCTTCATTTTCATAATTCACCGTGGGATTTGTCTGCATAACTTCTGATGGTTAATGACCCTATATTGATTGAGATTCTCTTTTGTGAGGCTGTATTGCTTGTGACTTGATAATGAATCAGTCAGATCGCTCCATTTTAGAGAGAAAGAAAATAGATATAGTGTTAACTTATAAAAAAAAAAAGACACCTAAAGCTCTGTTCACTCTATATATTCTGTAGGGGCTTTTATAGTCCTTGTAGTACATGCTGTTCTGAAAGTGTCACACATGCATTTGTTGTGAACTCAAACGCTGTAGAATCTGTAAAGATGCAAGATTAAATTTTCCATTGCCATTTTTACAGATAACAGCCCGTCGACAATGGAAACATATTTATGATGAATTAGGTGGTAACCCTGGAAGCACAAGTGCTGCTACATGTACTCGCAGACATTATGAAAGGTAAGATAACAAATCTGAAATGCTTGTTTAATAATGAAAAAATTAATTTGGAGAGCCTTCAAAGCATTTTATAAAGAATTAGAGAAAGAGAGAGCGAGAGGCTTCTTAAAGATATAGTAAATATTCCCCCAACAGTTTAGTCAGATAATCCATTGTAATTTAAACCAGAGTGTGTGTCTTCAGTGACTAAATAAATAAAACAGGCATGTGATTTTTCTTTGGTACATATCTTAATTTTTACAACAGCTTTCCGGTTAAAGAAGCTGAAAAATTGAGCAAAACATACTCAAGGAAAAATAAGAAATGACAGCTAATTGATGCAAACACTTGTCTTCTGTCGTTTTTTAGGAATACCAATTAAGCAAATTGTGGTTGTGATCAAAATAATGGGGTGGCCCACAATGCAGGGTGCTGTTAATGTTGTAGGTCATGCAGAGCATTGCATTCCTTCCCTCCTCCCTGCCTGCGAGCTGCTGCCAAACGCTCTTTCTCTGCAGCCATTGTTGCTGGTCAGAACTGTTGATTTCTTATTCTTCCCATGTAGATAATAACTTCCAGGGCTTGTGAAGCCAGCATGCATTGAATAAAATACTAGAGCTGGAATGTTGTTTCGGTTTGGTATGGTTTTTAGAAACAACTCTTTTTTTTTCCCTTTTTTTTCCTTTTTTTTTCTTTTTTTTCCTTTTTTTTTCCTTTTTTTTCCTTTTTTTTTCCTTTTTTTTTTTTTTTTTTTTTTCCTTAGACAAGCAAATGTTAATAAAAGCTCTGCAATTTCAGCCTCAGATAAGGAAAGTCCAATCTGTTGTTCCCGGGCATAAACAAGTTATTTTGCTGGGGTCAGGAAGAGATTGTGCTTGCCTGTGCACAAGGCAGCACAGCAGCGCTGTGCTCAGTGGGCAGTGTTCCACCTTCTTTTAGTGCCTTACATGTTGGCGACTCCCAGGGAGATGCTGCCCTCCTCATGGAGGGGAAGGTTGATGACCCTTATTTACAGGGGACGTCTCCAACAGAAGGACTTGGGTGCACAAAGAAGTTGCATGTAATGCCTCTATAAAAGTTAGAGTTACAAGCTTACTGGAGATTGAGCCAAGCAGCAGAGCAAATTGAGTGAGTTGCTGTGCACGTCAGATGGGGCTTCTCCCTGCCGTTGCGTTGCAGACAAATGTTATAGATTGTTGTAACTGACTTGTCAGATTGTGGGTATTCGGCTCTTCCCCTCCATCATTACAGCCCTGAGAGGCTCAGTGCTTCCTCTTGCACCCAAGCCAGCTGATGGGTTTCAGACTGACAGTCCGGGTCTTCCCTTGCCAGATGTGCTTTGTAGGATGTTGTTTATTTGGCAGAGGAAGCCCAGGCACGCGTGAGAGTTAGGTCTCTGAGGGTTTAGGTTGCACAGGGAGCAAGCGTTGCTGGGCTCTGTGTTGAAATCCTAGAGTCACCGAGAGTATGTCTCTTGTAGTTGTGGAAAAATAAATGAGCCATTCAAAAATACTTCGTGAACTCCTGTCTCTCTCTTCTGCTTTCATGCTAGTGGTTTATTTTTTTACATGCAAAACCCTTGAATTGCACTCCTCCAATGCATACAGACTCGTCCATGTGACTTACTCAGCAGTTACTCAGGGGTATGCTACAAAGTGCCCCAAAGCGCATTGTGCTCCCTAGAAAACATGAGCAGACCCATGATGCCTTCAAGATTCAGAAGCTTCTCCAGGCTACCCAGAGTGGTTCTGCTTGCCTTGAGCCAGTCTGAGGAAGGAGTCGTCTTTTAGTTTATACTTAAGATGGATCTTAACACACTGAAGAGCTCCTACCTGAGTTCTTGGTTGCCAGAGTCCATTGTGTAGTTCTTGGTTAGGTCTGATACGAGGCAGAACCTATTATCCAGGTTTCTGTGGCAGGCTGTCAAAAGATGGCATTTGGAGAAAAAATCTTTAAGGATTTTTAGGTTAGCCCTAAGCTTACCTAAAATATGCTTTACCAAATCTGGTCTGAAAAACCGAAACACATATACAAAAACCCTCAGTGCCTGGTCCAATCTCTGGATTTGTAGTGTTAGACACTTTTTTTTCTACCACAGGAAAGCTGTATTAAGCCTCAGACTTGGAAAAAAAGTAAATGAAATTGTCATGGTTTGTTTCAGCTAGTAATTCTAACTACAGCACCTGTAAATGTAATGCTCATTTATAGCCAAAGTGCTCAGATGACATTTAATCTAAAACTAGAACTGCAGTGCAGGAATCCACATTCATGATTCAGGACACACATACATTTTCTAACTTGAAGCTGAGCTGTAAAGCTAAACTGGAAATTGAATTAAGCTGGGAAGTAAATGCTGAATAAACCTCATGATTTTTCCTTTCTGAATCCCACTGGCCTTTCTTTGCTTACTGGAGGCAGAACAGGTAGTTCCCTCACTTCACTGATCCTGCTGCTGTTTGACTTAGTCTTGCCATTCATCTCTACAACTAGATCTCAAGGGCATCCGTGTTGTGTTAACTAGCTTTCTTCCAAGATGACAGAGAAGCTACTAGCTGTTTGCACCGGCTTTAGCCTATCAAGGCTGCTTAGGTGGCAGCAACCTTTCAGTGACATCCTTAGGATGCTGAGGAGTGGAACGGCGCGTATGTCCCATTCAGGTACTGCATCTCACCTTCCTGCCCTCTCCAGGTTCCCTCTGCAAGGTGGAGTTTCACACAGTCCTTCAAAGGGCAAAAAGGAAAAAAAAAAAAGAAATAAAAACCAACAAAAAGCCAGGAAATGGAGAGGGCAGAATTGCCTCTGTGTCTAGCAGATCCCATGAAGAAACGCTGCTTTTCTCAAAAGGTGCTTATAACCTCTAAACAGCCAGCATGTTGCTGCAGACCCATGGTACCGAGGATGGCAAAAGCTGAAACAAAGCCAGATTTGAAGACTGTAGGGAATGCTTTGCTCCCCTCTCCACGCCCGCCCCTGTTTGGAGCAGGGGGTTGTGGTGGTTGCTGCCACTGTGCTATAGGTAGGCAGAGTGCTTCGGTCAGTGCGGAGTTTGCTTTGTTTCCCTGGTAAAAGGGAAAGAAAGATTTCGTGTGCATTATCAACTGATTCATTTTTCATGTAGTACGGTTTGTGTTTCCAGTAACTGGTTTCATTTTAAAACAAGGCGAGGCTGCCAGTGTTTCAGTAAGTGTTATTTGTATATTAGTTAGAGAACTTTTGTTTTATTAATGAGTATAATAATGAAAGTGCAGGTTGCTGAGTAGAAGCAATGGGTGTTTTTATTTAAAGCATAGCAGGCATCGTATAATGCCAATGAATGCGTTATTGTCACTGTAGGCATGGCTGGTCTGAACCTGCCTCTGATTGGATTATTCCAAATAGGCCCAAGCACTTCATAAAAATGTCTTTGTCAGCCTAGTTTTCCTTCCAAACCTATTCATCTCTGTCAGTTTTTAATATTAGTACCAGGCTCTTGGCTATAGTCCATTAGTACTGTACTTAATTGCTCATGTTACAGATGATTACCAATATAAAAAGCATTAATGTTTTCCTATCGTGGGGCTGTTGCTCTGTGCACGACTCTGACCGTACAGGGCTTAGGAGTTGTTGTTGTTTTGGTTGTTACTTTCTTCATTTGTGCTCCTCTAATGCATTTACCTTGCATGATCACAGAAAGCTAGAGGCATGTGTGCTTGGTATTAGCTGATTCAGCCTGAACCTTTCCTGTGAAACTCTTAACAGCCCTTGTCAGCACCCTACATCTCTCTCTCTCTCTTATCAAGAAACCCTCAGAAACGGCTACTTTTCTGCGAAGCACTCTTCTCCATGCTGCCTTCCCCTAATAATGCAGATGTGGTTTTCACATGCAGGGTTTGAGGTTTCTTTCGCTTTTACACAAAACACATGATCGGCAGCTTTAATTTTCCGGCGTGAATGATGGGCTGTGTTTCTGCAGTGCTGGTGACGTTGTTGGTAGGGACTTTTCATAAATATTACACCACCACAGCCCCCTTAAAAAAAAAACAAAACAAAGCAAAACAAAAACCCCAAAAACCCCAACCTGCTATATATAAATATAGGTATATAAAGTTCCCAGTAAAATGCATTGAACAAAACAAAAATACGAGCAATTGCCTGTTGGGGCCTTTTTCTGCCTCCAAGTCTGGCTGTGATTCATCTTGGTTTCCTCCAAAGCAAGCCTTGTGCACAAGCTGCGCACAAACACGCACGGGCCGGGGAATTGTGGTGTGCAACTGCGTGTGTAACACTCCTCGGCTGCTTTGCCGGACAGACATGTCGGTGTTCGAAGGTGTCGTGGCAGGCAGCTGGATGGTCCTGTAGAGCAGTAGCCCTCCTGGCCTCTTCAGGTGCTGCGGGGAGCCTGGTTCCACTGGGGTCTCCAGCAGGGATGGACCCAGAGCCTCCCACGGGCCATGCCCTGGCTCTTCAACAGTGTAACTTGTACCCTGACCCTCAGGAGTCACTAGTGCCTTGAAAACCAGACTGTCCTGGTCAAACCCTGCTGGAGGGGGATTTATTAGGCTTCATGGTCTCATCAAATTCAGGCAGCTGAGTGGGAAAGTGTTCTGCAGAGCCACAGCCACCTGGGACTTGATGAGGAGCAGATAGGTGAGATGGGTCCCTGCAGCGGGGAGCGGTTCTTCACAATCCAGCAGAGTGGCTGTGCCCGCGCTTTGGACACAGACCCATGGAGGGTTTTATTCTGATTGTGAGTGTGGCCCCTGGGCACCAGCAGAGGACCCTGCACATCTGTCCCTTTCCAGGGGACTAAACCCCAGGAGATAGAGTGTTTTGTACAGTTCAGAGCCTGTTCTGCCATTTTTCTGTCTAAATCGCTCACATAAATATTATATATTATCAGAAACACAAGGCGGGTCAAAATAAGTCCCTTACATGGTTTCCCTTTAACAGCCGTAAAGTCTCTCTACCCTAAGGATATTGTGCAGTAATTCAATATGCAAGAGAGCCCCGCGTTCCGTGCAAATGCTGTTTGGTTTTGTTAA